GAAAAGAAAAGTCAAGCCCCGCCCCGGCGGAGACTAAAACCCAGACGCATCAACAGCCATTCTGTGGTGCACAGGATTTAGTTATGAGGAGAGAGAACAGGGTGACAAGTCCACAAAGCCTATAAACTTCAGTTTTAGTTAAAAGTGCCCAATCCTTGCCATTGTACAAAATGAGCTGAAAATGCAAAATAATGTGAAAGAATGGCCAGAAGTTTGCCACTGTTATCTCTAAAATGTATGCATTAGTTATAAAACTAACCAGAACTGACCTTTGGAGCTCCAGAAACTCATAAACACAGGTTTATCTAATCTTGAGGGGAAAGGGTGTAATTACAAATTCATGTTCAGTTTAAGGGGCAGTGTGAAGTGGCTTAAGGGGTCTATTTTCTGCTTGGGCACTTTCAGCTCAGAGGAATGGAAAGCAAATATGGTGTCCCATCCCAGGGGTTACATCTTAGTAACACGGAAGGTTCCCTCATCTAGTCAACCAGACGGCATGAGAAAGGTGACCACCAGCTCTCCTGGGCACTACCCACAATGGCACAGAGGAAAAACAGGACTTCTCCCACATGATGTTGAATGGATTAGTTGCATGCAGACAGCAGAACTTCATGCACTTCTTCCCTACAGTGATGCCTGTGGAGCTCTCCAAAGCCAATGCTCAATATTCCTCAGAGCTTGTGTTCATCTTCTTTACACCCCAATTAAAACTTCCAGAAACCAGCTACACTTGTGAGAAAGGCTGACACTATCAACCCCAGGACACTGATGTCACCACCTGCTTGGCAGGGTCTTTGCCACTGTGGTTACACCACAGACCCTACCACCACCAGTCAGGAGGCATTGAAGAGCCTTTTCTGACAGTGGCATTCGATACAGCATCTCCCTAACCAATATAAACCCGGACAACAAAAGCTGTGTGCTGTCAGAATTGCTGCCAGGGATTTTGCCAGCACAGCAATGCCATCAAAGAGCTTGACTTCCTGGTTAACATGGCTATGCCAGCAAAACATCATACTATAAACCTGAGCCAAAGAGAGGTACAAAACTGGAGTTGTTTCTTCTCAAAGAAAGGAGGAAGGGAAGAGCGATGATTACTGATGGGTTAGCAATGCCAGGAGCAGTTCATTTCCCAACTGGAAACACACATCCACTTCCCTAGACAGCAAAAGAAGTCAAAACCAAAAAATCCATATACTGTTATCATAAATAACACCCACTTTGCCACTTACTTTCCCCCCACTGCCCAGTGTGGCTTGTGAGATGGGACTTCTTGATCTCCTAAGGGGAGGAAACACTCTCTCCATTAGCCTGTTCAAATGAGTCACCAGAAAGAGAGAAGTGTGAATCCCAGCACGCCTGCACTGCAGGTGACACATACAGCACAGCGCGGCCGCCTTGGCACAGGTTGGACAGATTTCGCCTCTCCCACTGCCATTTCCTTCCAAGGTGCTTATGGAGAAAGGAGAAGTTGGGAAGCAGAAGAAAAAGACCAGGCTGGGGACCCCTACACCAACTTAATTTCATGCCTGAAGGTGGTACAAAGACACCACCTCTCAAGATAGGTTCACACACCCCGATGCTGAAGAAGTTAAAGCTCAGGATGCACTGGCTAGCAAAGGGGCATTGTGTCACCGGCCACTGCAACACGAATCCTCCTCCCCATTTGCAGCACCGGCCTTCTCGGGTTTCTCTGGATGAAGCACTATTTCAGCTCTATGTTTAGCACTTGGAGAGAAGCCAGGAAGACTTCCATAGCCACCACTGATTTGTTAATCCCTTAATGCACAGGCACTGTTTGTTACTTAGGACGTCAGGTTTCATCGCTCCTCAGCATGCCGGTGATAGAACTTCTTGACACCAGACCGCAAATATTATTGCAATGTCAATACTCCCAGGGAGAAAGCCAAGCCGAGTTAAAATGTGACTTTGGTGTTGACAAGCCAGTTTGGCATTGCAGAGTTCAAACGGCCAGGATCACCTGGCAACCTTAAAAACAGCCGAAAGTTTGCCAGGATCCTTTTTGATTAGAGTCTTATCCCGAGATCCGCATGGTAACAGCTAAACACTTTCCAATCAGACAAAGCAAGCAAGAATACAGTAAGTGGATTATGCTTTTCTGGGAAAGTGCTGGGAGCAACGTGTACATATGCATGTGAGTTCGTGCCTATACAGATTTTCCTCATCTTTCTCATTGAAAGAGAAAAAATCCAAATCCAGCTTTGTAGCATGGTAGATTGGGAGGTGATGCAGCTCAGTATTCCCAGGGAGTTCACCCAGACGATGCTAGCTTCAACACTTCTCCTGCCTCCCTTCGTACAATAAAAAGAGGTTATTTCCTGAGCATGATGAGGTCAGACCAGGTCCTGGTTTTTTTGGAGGGCCACTAAGACATTGCACAGGGGCTGCGCAGAAGGTCACAGCCAGGCAGGCACTGGTGTCTGCTGCTGCAGGGGTCACAGCTGCCTTTCTCCAGAGTACAGAGCTGCTTTAAGATCTTTTCCCTCCCTCCTGGATGCAAACGTTTGTAGTGACACAGCCTGAAAGGTGAGGACACCCAAGGACAGTTGTGTGCGTGGAGGAAAAGGCACAGCCTCCCCCTCCCAGGGTAGCACGAAGATGGAGGGCTGATGCGTGGGGTTGCCTCAGGCTCACACACCCCAATGCTAACCGGTCCTCATCCTCCCCATGCAATAAACCCAGGCAGCTACTCAGCCCCTATTAATTTACCACCCGTTAATTACCAACCACTTCTTTTTGACCTCATAAGGCAGATCTGACAGAGCAATGTGTGAGGCTGTGGCAGGATGAAGCTGGGCCAAGGGCACATCAAGCCTGTCCCCAGATCCATGCTCATCCCACTGCCCACGCACAGCCCATCTGCTTATCAATAGCTCCAATTAAATAGACTCAGGGTTTCGACCGCCACCAGCTCACCCACGGGTTGGGAGAAAGACAGAGGGAGTTAAAATTAAATTATCAATTGATTAATACATGAAGCCACTCGGTAGCTGTTGAGTTGAGCACCCTTTTGGGTTTTTAACTCTTCGGTGCCCCGTGAGTTTTCTTTCATTGTTAGCAATGCCAATATGAGTACACTGGAAATTTGGGGTAATATTTAAAAAAGCTCAGAGTCAGGTAAAAATCTGTATTTCAGTAAAAATAAGGTTTGACAAAATTATTTTATTGAAATTTCAGTAAGCATAGAACCTTTTTTTAAAAAAAAAAACAGGAATGTTTTAGACTCGTGATCCTGGAGCAGTCTGTTTCCAGACTTGGAGAAATGCAAAGAACAGCACAACATGAACTGGCAAGAAGATATTTGTTTTTAAAAGAAATAATTAGGAGGGATTTTTTTATTTCCAGTCCTTATAACTGGAACAAATCTGGAACAAAATGACTGTGAAACTCAGTGCTTGAAGTAAGAAGCAAAGTATAAGGAAAAAACCACCGAAGTTTAAAATGCCAGGGAGGTAGAACATGCAACAGTGAAAAGATGCAAAGAACAAAGACAGAGGGTAACTCTTCCAAAAAAAATTAAACAGACAAAAGTTTCACTGAATTCAGCAAAGCTGGCCCTGTTTACACCAACTGCTGTGTTTTATGGGGTATTTAGGGGACATACCGGACAGGAGGACTGTTTTCTTCCTGTGGCTTGATCTTGCTATATACAGATACCTAAGCACCAGGAGTGTTCAAAAGCCCACTGGCACACAGAGAGTAGACTTTGAAGGGCAGATGCAAGCAAAATGTGCCAGTTTAGAGAGGTCTGTTCAGTTTTAAGTAAGATCTCAAATAAAAGCCGGGAGCCAGCACTGCACAAAACTATTCCCAAGGCTGTCGTTTGACTACAGCCTCCTCTTTCAACAAGATAAAAGTCAATGTAAATGGGCAAGCAAGACAAAATCCTACAGCAAGGGCACAGGCAGCACTGGACCCTCGCAGCATCCCCAAGAGCAGTGGCGGATCAAGGTGTTCTGCAGGGAGGCGTTAATGGATCTCTGAAACACACACTGACACTAACAGAGGGTATACTTTTTTTCTCTTTTTTAACAAAAGGAGACCAAATTCTATCAGTGGGGTGTTGATATGAAAAGATCATTATGCTATTCCCTGGTTAGGATGTTCACTGAATGCCCTTGTGCATTCGAGTGGACAGTCAAACACAGCTATATGGAAACAGGAGAATCGAGCCACATTAATATCTATTAGGCAATTAAAAACCTACCTGGGAAAGAAGCTTGTTGTCATCCTCCAGCAGTTTCACTTTTGTTTCAAGTTGCCTGATATAGTTGGAAGACGACGAATCTTTAGGAAAAGAGAAAAAAGAGGTTTAAGCTTCTTGTGTTACAGGCAAGGACTTGTGAAAGAGCATTATGTTTTCCCATTCTATGGAAGGCAAGCTTGGGAAAGACCTAATGAAGAAGTCCCTCATTGTATAGGGTGAGGAGGGGATTCTGCCAAAAGTTTTTTCACTCAAAAGCTGAGATTCAGCAGCAGCAATATCTTCTGTGAATCTGTATCAGTGGCACCAAGTTGGGGGCTGAGGGCTACAGAAGGAAAGTGAAGTTGAAATATTGTGTTTCATGATTTTATGAAAGTAATTTCCTAGCTTTGAAAGCCATTCTCATTCATCTAAAATGCACTAAAATACTCAACAGAACAAGATGTTTCCTTTTAGGTTTGAATAAACAACCCCACCACACATGTGCCTTTTTCTTTCAAAAACAACAGGAAAACTCACAAAAATAAGCTGCTGGCACAGTCACTGCCACAACTCCCAGTGCTGTAAAAGGAGAACAAGTGTATGCAGGAAGGCCACAGCGCTGCTGCACACACAGGCCAACGTGCACAGCAAGCAACATCTGTTTTTCGTAGTGGAAGCACGTGACACTAAACAGAAAAATACCAGGACAATAAAATACAGAATACCCTCACATAAAATGGTAATATTCAACCTGAAGGAATGTAATGGTCAGTTTACCACTGCAGTTAGACAGCAACACCAGATAGGGTGACCTGGCGTCGAAGATAACTTGCTGGAGAGCTCTGTGGGTGGCTTACTGCTCTGCAAAACATCTGGGGTTTGTTTTGCAATGCTTTGAAGCAACACATTTGCAAATTTCACACAGAAGATAAAAAAGAAACCTGGGAAAACCTTTTCTCCATTTTCATTATAGCTTAGAAGTTTGTAATAGTTCCTTACATCTACCTGGAGTTTGCAAAATTTCTCCTCCGCTTATAATTTTGGTATCTGACACTGAGTTGTTACAGCAGGAGGAAAAGAGTTTTGCCTCCTAACCCTATGAAAAAACCATTTTCTACACTGCTAAAAGGGCTCTACAAAATGAAATTATATTTTACCTCATGTCATTTATTATGGTATGACTGCAAAAGCCACTATTCAACCACAGGACTTCTTGCCAAGCGTGAATCGGCGAGGCATGTGGTGTTACGGCGACCGCGCCGATGCTGGTCGGTGCGCGTTGGCATTGCCAGCACCTCCCGGGGTCAGCCCCGCCAAGGTTAGCAGGCACAGCCGGCTGCATCTCTGCGCACACGGGCACAGCCCCGTGCACGCGTGTGAGGTTCGGGCTCTGCACTAACCAGGTTATCTTTGCATTTGCCAGTAGCTGCCAAACGCACTCGGCATGAGCCTGAACGCCATTTCTTGGCCACTCTGGGGGCAGTCTTGCAGCAGAGCCAGTGTGCAAGCTACAGCTAACTACTGAGAGTGCTTTGACCATTCAAGTTGAAAATTGGAATATGCTTGAGAAAGTGCTGCCACAGGCAAGTGCCAAACCGCACATAAAGGAACAGCAGGACGGATCAGCGTTAAGTGCCCATCTACAGCACAAAGCGCTGAGGAAACACGCTCACTTTTGTGTTTGGATCACGCTCTGTCCAAACCCAGGAAATCCAAATGAATCCTCATGAAAAACGTTAAGAAGACACCATAGGAAGTTATGGAAGTTCAGTGCAGAGTTTAAGTGGTGGTAGGGTTCACAGCAGTATCACCTTCAGCTGCCGGGACCGCAAACCCTCTGCCCAGCAACAACCCCAACGTGGGAGAGTCTCCAGGTCAGAGGAGAGAAGGGCAAACCACGCAGGTTATGGGATCAATCCATAGCACCCTCCCTGTGCTTTGTGCCAAAAGCATCATGAATTTAGTCATGCATATGGAAAGGTGGCAAGTGTAACACTGCAGGAGATCAGTGCTTAAGTCAGCAAGATTTCAGCATCAGACTGAACAACCTGCTGAAGCAGTAACGAACCTGTCCTCCAGCCAGGTGAAAGGAGAGTTTGAGATTTCTAAATACAAAGCCAGGAGCACCATGGACCCTTTGGTCTGACCTCCCCTGTGCCCCAGGCCACCTCACTTTGTTAGCTTACCCCTAAATTCAGTCCAGTTATACCCATTTGGCTAAACAGTTCCCAGAACAGCCTCCATCTCTGTCTGAAGACAACCAGACTCCACCACTGTGTGCTGGATACAACAGCCTCCATCGGTAGATGTGGTCAGGTAAGGTGTCCTTCCCCGCCTGTCCTCCAGCTTCACCAGCACCCGCTTGCTGCCAGGGCAGCAGCAGAGCTGAGTATCTCTGCACAATGAACGCGGTGATCCTGACACAGCAAGTCCTGATTTTTATCTCAAAGCAGCTTCAAGGAAGGATTCAAAGCGGTGTCAAAGGTGAGGCTCCATCCACGCCTGCCTGGGAATCAGAGATATGCCCCTGGACCCAGCACAATCTTTGTGTGCATTGCACAGACAGCAACACTTGCATAAACAAATGTAAAAATCCTAGATAATGCTGAAGAAGATCTCGATGTGATGCCGGTCATAAGACACAGGGTCCACAAGAACCACAGCACTGACTAAGCCTGTTGTCTGTTAGCAGAACAAGCTGTTTCCAAAGTGGCAGGGAGCCTGCTGCACACAGTGCCCCCTCTCACCTTTGCACTCTTATCACTACCAAGCGTTCGTATTGTGGCCCACCGCACCACGTCATGTGCAAAGAACAGCAGTCAAAAAGAACACCTTATGGGAACTATTTCTGATGGAAACAAGCCCTTTCTCACAGCTCTGAGCACACGGAGGGCAGAGAAATGGCAGCAAGGCCTCTCCAGCAGCTCGGCCTTCAAGCTCAGTGGGGCATCTGGCAACCTGAACCTCCTGAGCCACCTCTTCGAAATGTGCTTGTGGTGGTTCCAGCACTGCTAACAGCTACAGGAAATTAAGGTTAAGTAATGAATGGTGATGCAGAAGCTGTTGTGTTCAGGCCCAAATGCTACAAGGACTGACTGGTGGGTTAATGAAAATAATAGAGGATGGCTGCCAAAAGAAAGGAATATGGAGTGAACTATTTCCTTACTTTGCTTTCATATTCCTTGCAAAAAAAAAAGAGGGTACTCCTTGGGAAGGCAAGACCTGCATCCCCAGGAGCCAATGCATACCACAGCTACCCCCAGTCTTGAAAGCCTGCTCTGAGATTTACTAGAATTCTTCAAACATCACCGTTCAACCCCAAACCATGTCCGATATATGACCTCAGCCAGAAAACAGCCCACAGCAATTTTAAAATATATAGAAAAAAAAGAAAGAAAAAGAGAAAACGAGCTGTTTAGTCAGCAGAAGATGCTTCATCTCAGGAAAAAGCTGAGAAACAGTGCTCAGAGCCATCACCATCCTCACTGTGCCCTCAGAGGTGAATTGCCTCCATCGTTTGGACCTGCCTGTGTTGAGGTACGTGCCAATGAGCCATGTGCATCTTGATCTCAGGTTTAAAAAATGCCATAACTCTCATGACAGCAGGCAGTAACGCTGCTGGGTTGAGCAGCGAAACCCTAGGCTGGGTGTCTCCCACGTTGGATCAAGAAACACATTCCCAACATTTTTCTGCCTCTGACCTTCCTCTTATCAGTGAATTTCCCTCCTCTCCTGCCTCCCCCAGAGCCATGGGGCAAGGCTGGCCCCACTGACCCACCCAGGAGAGGCAGCAGAGCTAGATCACTGACAGCTCAGACCCCCTCATCTCCTTTATTAGAAATGAAAGGGATGGTCCTTCTTGCCTTGTCAAAGCCTGCCACCAGGAATGCTCCACCTTCCCCAGCCCAAATGCACTCTCCCGGGTGGCACGAGCAGCTCCCAGACCCAGGTGCTGGGGCATACCCCCAGCACGCCTGCTCAGCCACCACCTCACGGCACCAACATCAAGTCCTCCCACGCCTGCTGGTGCCTTGCCGGTGAGCTGACACCTTGTCCCACCCTGGCCGGACAGCCACACTGGTGGGCTCTGCAGAGCAAGGCATGGTGAAGGGGAGGTACTGTATCTGGGAAGTAGACAAGGATGGTGGTGAAGGACATGTGGTCAAAGATAAGCTTTTTGGGAGGATGCTCTGGCACTCACTGCCACCTGGGATGCCAGAGGGGCCAACAACCTCCTGCAGTTACTCCTCGGGGCTACGAGCACGAACAGTGGGTGCCTCAGTGGACGAGATGGCACCAGAAGGAAGGAATTTCCCACCAAAACCTCTCACCTCCTAACTAACACCCTCCCTGTCACAGCCATCACATGGTGCAGAAGAGGAGCTCAGGGTGAGAGGCGGCATCGTGCCCCTCCAGACTGCTACGCGCAACAGCAAAATGGATGAAAACCATAATCACCATCAGCCATCGCTCACTCGTACAACGTAAATGCTTCAAGCTAAATTGTTCACAGAGCCGTAAAACCTGAAGTCCCGTTTCTTTACAAAGCCTTTGAAAAACTAATTGGATGTAGCTCTGCACATTATCTTCACGAGAAGTAGAAGAGTGGCATTCCAGCTCAGGAAGGAGCATTACCGTTATTATCCACCCTCCTCAAGATTTGCTGTCTTAAAAAAATATACTCCATCTGGAACAGGGTGTAATTCAACTTGGAGGTAATCTAGCTGAGTAACTTTTCTCCACATAGATAAACCACTTAATACTCATTACAGCTAAATTGAGGCAAGACAAATCACGGTACCTTGTTTTAACTCAATGGCCTCTGAGAGCAGGGAACTGCCTGGCTCCTAAAGCTTTTTTAAAATATAAATTAGAAACTGTTCTAACACTCAAAACAATCTTTCAGCCTGCAGAGCACAGAACAGTGTCATTTTGAAAGACACTTGGCGACACTGAAGCCTTTCTGACTCTCATCTGAGATTTCAGAGGAATCTGTCAGAGGGGTAAATATGATGAATTATACATTTATTTTGACACTAGCAAAAGAAATGTTTTTATTTCCTTGTATGTCATTTCTCCACAAGCACGCAGAGCAGAGGTT